ATGAAAAACGTGTTTCTAATTAAATTCTTCATTCCTGACCGTTTCTCACGACTTCAAAAAATTATGAACAAATGGACAATAAAAACACACATAACAAAATAATGTAACTGCGTTGTGATATGATGATAATTTCTACACAAAAACAGTATAAACACGATAGACAATGCAAATACAGTATTTGCAGCGCGTGCAAGAGAGAATCGAAAGTTAGAATGTGGGTTGGGTGAAAAGTTCAGAAATGTACGTTGTGTACTTGAGTGGTTGGAAATGAGTAGTAATTTATTTAATACGTCTCAATTCTCCCATGAGAAGACCACATTCGAATAGAGGTAACAATCGCAAAATTCAATTTAACTCGAAGTGCACTGCAGTTTTGGTTATTTTAAACTCAAAACAAAGCTCTGGCAGATCCTCATCACGAATATCAAACAGAAACAGGTCAACAGAACATTTGCCGGACCATTGTTGTATTAAATCCCCGTCATTTCTGCGCGTGTATGTGCACACAATGTTTGTCTAAAGTAAACTGGAGTTCAAGTTATGACATTTCATAAAAGTATATTTTACTTTATTTTTCACTTTTAGAAGCGAAAGTAACATTAAATCCCTTAAATCTACTATGGTTTTTACAATATATAAAATTATTAGCGACGTATATTTACATAAATACCGAATAAAATATAAATATTAATCCTTAGGTCCTTAAACGGAAAATTGTAAATTACATTATAAACTAAATGTATGTGTTCGACAAATATTAGTAGGGTTTATTAAAACAATTATAATATTCTGAAATGAATTTTGTTTTAATTAAAAGTTGGTACGTAGTGATTTTCCTCACAGAACATGTATAGCAGTAAATAACATACATTATACGTAAGGTGTGTTATAATGACAGCAATAAGACTATTTAAAAGTATTTAAATCGACTGCTATAGAAATGATCCTAACACCATTGTTGTTACATTATATTATTTTCCGTTCTTAATACGAATAATCTTAAAAAGATAAACTCTGATACGAAATTATTTATAGAAATGTGACAAGAGATGAGATAACACGTCTTCACTTAATTACGGTGATAAAAGAACAACATGGGCGTTAATAAAAACCGTTTAATTCAAATTAAATACTTACGAAAACATATTTTCATAGAATCTTTAATATATGCGACTTATAAAATTTAATTATGTAAAAAACGCGTGCAGAAAATATCTTCTGCATTTTGGATAGTAACTAAACTATTAAATTGTATATAAAAAACAAGGAAAAGAGAAGAAGTCTGTATTCGTGGACGCACGGTTTTTTGACGCAGAAAATGCGAATCATGTTCCCTCAGCTCTTCCAGACATAACGTTTATCGCTGCTTGTATAAATCCTTCGACCTCCGCCAGGCATTGACACGAAAGGTAAAAGCAGACGTCGTTGACAGTTTAGCTGAATAATCATCTGATTGTTCTGTACACAATCCGCGATACCGTTAACTTGAACAGAAAAACGTCCAACCAATCCCTAAAACCGGGAACACTTCTTACCCAATGCTACGCCATGCGACGCTACCCGATGCTACCCGACGCAAATCCAAACTCCGATTGTCCATAAGGTTGCATTACCCCCGTGCACATCTGCCCGATGCTATGCCACGCTACACTACGCGATTCCCACTGTCCAGATTTTCGTCGGGTCACATCGAGTAAAGTCGAAGTCAAAAGTACTAGATATTTTTATTCAAACTACATGTCTTATAGTCGTTATATTGATTACAACATGCTTATTTTAATATAAACCAAATTAACCGAGATCAAAAATTCCTTAGTTTTTATTGCTAAAAAATAATTTTAATGGTGTGGTAGCAAAAACACCAGAATATCATTTTTTGATATAATGAATTGAACTAACAATTTATTGCACGGTTTTGCTCGTCTAATTTAACTAACAGTTTATTTCATGGTTTTGCTCATACAATATTACACCATTGGCGCAACGGTTTAGGCATTGACACGGGGCTCATCACTCTAAGGTAAAAATTAAAAAAAATCATGGTTTTGCTCATTAAATTACACCATTTTCGTTGAGTAGCGTCAGAACATGATACACATATTTTTTGTATTTTATTTCAAACTAAGTAGATGTAATTTTGTCGTTATATTAATTACAACATTCTTATTTTATTCACTAGTTTTAGTGGTCCGCTTGATCAATTTATATATTTCAATTAATTAAGGTTTTTTATCTCAACTAAAAAAAACCTTAATAAATTGAAATTCTTATTTTAATATAAACCAAATTAAACGAGATCAGCAATTTATTTCATGGTTTTGCTCGTAAAATTACCATTTTCGTCGAGTAGCGACAGAACAGGACACTCATATTTTTTGTAGTTTATTTCAAACTAAGTATATGTAATTTTGTTATACTAATTACAACGTTCTTATTTTATTCACTAGTTTTAGTGGTCCGCTTGACCAATTAATGTATTTCAATTAATTAAGGTTTTTTAGTTGAGATAAAAAAACCTTAATTGAAATTCTTGTTTTAATATAAACCAAATTAAAGGAGATCAACAATTTATTTCATGGTTTTGCTCGTAAAATTACACCATTTTCGTCGGGTATCGTCAGAACAGGACCCTCATATTTTTTGTAATTTATTTCAAATTAAGTACGTTTTGTTATATTAATTACATGTTATTTTAATGTAAACCAAGTAAAACGAGATCAAAAATTCATAAGTTTTTAAACATTATTTAATTATGATGGTTAGGAATTACTTTATTTAAAACAATTAAGTTTAACAAACAATCTATTATACGGTTGTGCTCATAAAATTTAACTAACAATTTATTTCAAGCTTTTGCTAAAATAGTACATTAAGAACAAAAGAGGGGTTGCGAGCGTGATACTGATTATTGTGATACACGCTGTGTGACTGTACGCGGCGTGTGCTTGCGTCGGGCAGATGTGCACACCCTACCAAAACGTGGCAAGGCGTCGGGTCGCTTCCGGTAGCGTCGCATGGCGTTGCATCGGGTAAGTGTGTTCACGGCTTAAGCCCTGAGGAACTCCCTCTGTTGAACCGTGTCTCAATTCAGTTTTTCTTATTTCATTTCAAATTCTATAGGTTTTTTGCTATCAAAATTTATTTTATATGATCTTAGCTTGTCACAAAGTTTCTTACATAACTCATTACAAACGCCAAAATTGCATAGTAACAATTATTTACATGATGATGATATGTCGGGTTTTGGATCTGAAACAAGATCGTTTGCCCTTTTTTTGGTTTAAAGAATTGGAAGTGTTGTCTTTCGGATTGAACTGTAGTTCTCGTATAAATTTTACAGATGCGAAAGATTTCAACATTTGGGCAGTACAATTATTGCAGTCAGTAGAAACTCATCATAAAGAAGAATGTTTAAGAAACGTGCAATGTTCTACTTACTATTTAATATGAAGGAATTGAACTTTGATCTTGGAGACAACAATTACTTGTATAAGGAATACAACTAGAATTTGATCAAGGTTGTTTTTCGAGCGAGAGGTCAATTATTATATTTAAGTGTGTGGTGATTAGTGACCGTTAATCGATAATTATTCAGAAATCGTGAGATGCGGTCTAGTGTGAAAAAAATTTTCTTTATCAGAGACCTTTTTGTTGAAATGCAGACAACACAAGATCCCAGGCCCTGAAGATGATCTCAATAAAGATTGAAACGTTGGCAAGATTAAGAAAATGTTTTTCTGAAACCTACATCACACCAGACCGCATCTCACGATTTATGAATTATTATATTTAAATTTAAGCCTTGGTTGGAGGAAAGAGACCCAAGCATGATATATATGTAAATTAAAAACGGTGGAAGATTTGTTTCATTTTTTGGCAGTTTGTCCAACTTTGGAAAACGTTAGATTAATTTGGTTCCACAGATGTCGTTTGACGTTCCGTGAGTATGTAGACCTTTTAAATGGGAAAGATTGGTTTAGTTTGTATAGATATATTATAGATATAAATTGCAGAGATAATTTTATGTTAAGTTGATAATTTGTATGTTAATTTGTTTTATTTGAGTGTAAATATGTAAGGGCAACTGCCAGACGACTAGTTCATGCCATTGTTATTTTGTAAAAATGTAATATTTTGTTTGTTTTTTCTGAATATACTTTTATAAATAAAATAAATAATTATTTACATTAAAAAATATAATTATTTGATCACTTTTTCAGTCCTCTTTGAATGAAGAACTGTGTTCAATTTAATTGCTCACCAGTCACATACCGGTTTTATTTTTCTATCCTTGTTCAAGTCGGAAAAAAAGTTATATGCGTTTATGCAGAAAATAAGGCTAGGCACATCCTGCAAGGAGCATTAAACGTTGTTTTAATATTTATGTCACAACATGCGCCGAAGTTGACTAAAGTTTATACTTGGCCCCCTTCCACCATGGATCCGGCCGGGCTCCATCTACGCCCCAACAGGTGATATAAGGATTCAACTTCCTGGTTATTTCCCTGTAACACACCCTAGGCAGTCGTAAAAGTTCAACCTAGTGTTATCTTCATGGGACCCGCGGTGATCTCTAAACACATTCGGCCCTTTCATCCTATTTATTAAAAAATCTAACCTCCAGCTGGCTGGTGTACGAATGACTGATTTCAATGACGTTTAATTCGCATTGTTTAGTAATGAATAATTAATCAATAAAAACAAGGTTTCCTTTTTAGATGTACATTTTGATTTCAACATCCAAGATATAAAAACATTTGTCTTATATTAAACTGCGGATAGAAGCATACAATGAAATTTTATTATACATTTTGTACAGAATGTAGAATTCTCAAGAGGCGACAATTTGTAAAATTGCTTGACCTTTTGGGCACAGTGGTCATAGTTTAAGATACGCGATTCGTAGAACCCTTGGTAGTTGGTTCGATTTCCACCGTCGCCCCTGGAATTTTTTTCAATCCTTCCTTCGCCCAACAATATGATATATATACATACTGCATTATAACCACTTTTAAATTGGAGCCCGAGTGCACGAGAGTTCGCTTGATGCGCGGCGGCTCCGGCAGACGAGGAACGCGTGGCGACGAGAGAGGTGGCTTGTCTTTTTTTGTGGTTTGCGCTCTCGTTTTTTTCCCCGGGGACGACAAGTGGACGTTTTCTGGATTCAGCGGCCTTTTTTACGGAGGGAAGAGATCTTTCTGGACGTCGAATTGCACAACCGGCTTCATACGAGTTCGACAACTATTTGCCTTGGACTTTCAACGAGCTGCAGGGTAATCACTTGTCCAGAAAACATATTATTTACATTTGTTCACTTTTGTCAATTGATTTTCTTTATTATTGCCGGCACAATGTTTTTTTTGTTTTCTTAATTTTTTATAAACAGGCCTTAATCAGTGTTGTTCATTTTTGAATATAGAAAAGAAACTTATTTTGTATTATTTTATTTTAATTTAAAAAAAAGGGAATTTATTCTGTTTGTTTATTTTTATTTTTTCAAAAAATAGAAAAAGGTGTTCATTTGTATTTAATTGCTGTGGTTATTTTTATTTCATCTCAAAAGGCCTGAAACAACTGTGCTGATGTCACCACGACAATTTTATAAGATTTTTTAATTTTTATTTTAAATATAATGTATTTTATAACATGGAATCACGATGATACATAAAAGCGTAAAGCCAAAACATTAATTCAATTAAAAAACTTTTTGGCAGTAACTACAACAAAAATACTCTTCGCCAAATAACTAAACACAACAAAGCTTAGACTATAACAAACAATGTATACGTTTTACACTATATGGCACGTCTATTTATAAAGCTTGAAGGCTTATAACTTTATTTACATCTCATTAAACTTTTAACAAGGACATACAGGAAAGTTTATCCTTGCGTAGTCTCGTTAAAATTCAGAGTTCGGATAGAACGATGCACCACGTTTTTCCTCATATTCAGATCCTATTCAGATGGATAGCGTTTTAGGTACAATACTGAAAATTTAGATTTGTACTCTAATTATAAAAAAGAATGTATAAACTATGTGCCTAAATGTTAAACATGTAACTTTTTAATAGTGTAACGTGAGTCTTATCAAAAATGAAATGATAAATAATTATTAACGATTAAACGTTTTAATTGTTATTGTGTAAAAAAATATTCAGTTTAATAATAAATAATGTAAAGGAATCTTCATACATCTGAGATTTGAGCCGAAGTTACGGTCGAGTTTATTTTTCAAAGTCCTGTCAAAAAAGTAAAGTTTTTACAAGAAGCCCGAGGAAAAAAGCTGAGAAGTTAACAGAGAAAGAAGCCAGATGGGAAACTAATTGGCTAAACAGAGATAAGGCTTATCGCACTCGAGGTCATAGGATAGTTAGAGGTGATAATAAATCACGCCTACATTTTACCCTGGCTTCAAAAATCAGAGAAAACACGAACTTATTTTAAACTGTATTTGAATTATGCTGTTTGTTTTTTTCTTTTTTCTCATTTATTGATAAAATCCTGATAATCCTATTAAGAAACAGTAACTTAATTTTATGTGAGAATGTCAATTTTATTACCTTCTATAATTTTGCTTTTCATTAATTATTAGCAGTGATGTTAAATTTTAGCTACATTCAGCGTTGTGTTATTAACAGAAATTTCAATTTTCGAAGGCGTGTTAAATGTATGGACGACGAAAAAGGTCTGGGTCCGTTTAACGGTTGTTAGTCACACGAGCAAAACGAAGGTTTGTGATAAACGTCTACTTTAAATCAAACCGAAGTGTTTAGACTGCCTTTGCTAATCCTTCAAACCCACTAAACGAGACCACATGGTGTTTGGAGTTTAAACTACGCTTTTAATTTGCTGCGTTTGACGAGTTCATTTTTAATCAAATGGAATCAACGCCTTTTACAAGCGACGACCAAAAAGTTGATTTCGTTAAATATCAACTTGATTTTTTCTCAACGTTTCTACACGCTTACAAAGACTACGCACGCTGAACAAAAATTCAACAAGATACGTGATAGTACATTCCCCTGAGCAATACTGGACGTTTTAGTGGGTCCGTCTGTTTTAGCTACGTTTCACACAACACGTTTCGGCTGAATACTTCGACGTCCTCCAATGATCTGATCGGCCCTACTTGTCCTATTTGCAAACCAAAACCACTAAAAATGGGAAATTATCTTCAGAATTGGTTTTTAAAATACACAAGGACCATAGTTAACAGGTAGGAGAATGAAGAGAGAGAGAAAATACTGTATTCTGGGACGAGAGTTCAGTAAGAATAACAAAATCGCCACAAAAATATGAATGAAGGTTTAACGGTAACAATATTTAATAATTGTCGTAAAATACATAATACAAAATGTAAAATAACAGAAAGAGAGTACCAATAATAAGAATTTAGAGAAAATTGTTAATAATAAAGAATATTTTTTCTTGTGCGATCGTAATCACAAACTGTAATCTTAAAAGTTTAGGAAAAAAGGAAATAAGAATAATAATAAAGAATATTTTTTCTTGCGCCATCATAATCACAAACAGTAAACTTAAAAGAAAAAAAAAGAACGAAACAAGCTTTGCTATGTAGTAAAATGACCTACTAATATTGTGGACTATTTTTCAATTAATTAATATTTATGAAAGGTATTGATTGAGATAATATTGTAAGCATATTTATCCGATGGTCGTGGGTTCGAACCCCGCTTGTGACACTGACTTTTTTATCTCAACCAATACCTTTCATAAATGTGTGGTGATTAGTAACCGTTAGTCGATGATTATTCGGAAATCGTGAGATGCGGTCCGGTGTCATGTGGGTTTCAGAAAACACTTTGCACAACACTTGCACTCTCAACACGACACGCAAGAATGACACATTTACGCAGAAAACAAACACTTTGAGCCCTGAAGATGATCTCAGTAAAGATCGAAACGTTGACACGATAAAGAAAATGTTTTTCTGAAACCTACATCATCCCAGACCGCATCTTACGATTTCCGAATAACCTTTCATAAAGGTTAATTAATTGAAAAATGTTAATTGGTCAATCGGACCACGAACTGTAATGGATTGTGGACTATGTTGATTCTGTTTGAGTTGAGGGAAATAAGGTGTTTCTACAGGAGGAATTTAAAAGAGGTAAGGTAGGCGACTTTACTGATGACAAAGGAAGAGTATTCCAGAGATTTGTGGCTCAAGCGAGGATGGTCAAATGTGGAGATTTTATGATAAGGATGGTAAGATCATTGGGAGATGAGCGGGTGGTGGAAATTGGATAGATGATTTGAATTGAAGTAGTTGGAAAATATAGTGAGGTCGACCAGGATTTATAGATTATAGAAGGAAGTTGCCTAGGAAATTTTTTACGGAAGAAGAGATAAAGCCAGAATAGGTCTGATTACACGTGTAAGACATTATTCGGGGGCTGCCAAAAATAAATCTGACACAACAGTTCATTTGTATTTTCCGAAGCTTTTCTTGTTCATCCGAAAGTCCACTATAAGCGACACAACTGTAGTATGAGGGAGGAGGTAAGGAATTCACGAGTGGAGGAAGTTAGAAAGAGCCCGGAAAAGTGGAATGAAGTAACTGATCACTCCTGAGAAGTAGTTGGGAAAGCGCTTTAGCCTTCAAAGAGTTCTGGTCACAGATTTGTACTTTACCTTCATTGCATTCGTTTGAAAAAGGATCTTAAATAATTAAAGAGCGAGTTTACTACTGTGTTAATGCAAATATGTCTGGTAAATATTGTGACTTCTTTTTCAACCTAGCGTGTCACGTACACTCTGAATAACACGTGCTCTTGCGTATGTGATGCTTCAAACAATATAAATATTTAGAAGAGACATTATGCCACTCATGAGCAGGTCAAGATAACGATGGCTATCTTTTATGACTGCTCTAATTCTGTAGGAAAAATAATTACAATTAGTCCTTTGTAGTTTCTTATTGGAAAGGAAATGAATATATTATACTAATATGTATTTCTATTTTGGCACGGCGACTCATTGCAGCAGTCCTGACCGTGGTACCTACTTTCGTATGAGCTCTTTCAGTAGAGAAACAAAGAAAAAAATATTATTGAAAACAAAAGATGAATAATATAGCTTTCAACCCTTACACTGTTAAAGGAATATAGTTGTTACCTATTAACGGCACAAGCCATTTATTTAGTATTTAATTAGATTCAGAGCTGGCGTAATTCAAATTTAATGTCCGTAACTTTTGCGATACATTTTCTAAGTATGTTGAAACAAACACCGAAGTTGATATAATATTTTAACACCTGTTTCACAAGAAAAGGCGTAGTGGCTAAAAATATAACGGCTGTCTGTCAAAAGTAAATAATTTTTTCACAATTTTTCATTCAAAGGTCGGATACAGACTGATTCAGATTCTGCAAACAACACATTTTTTCAATTTTTTTTAATAGTTTTCTGCGCGTCCTTGGAGGTAACACGACGATAGGGCGGTCAGAGGATTTAATTTCCGGCTGTCGTGGGGTGAGTGACACACGGCACTCTCTCTCACACACAAATATTTGCACCATCCCTTAGCCACCCCACCAATAACGAACTCGGTGAACATCGATTTTTCTCGGGAGGAAGTCACAACTCTTAAGAACTTTGGGAAATTCATTGGTACAAGTATTTCATATTAGAAATTTATTGATATCTGTTGCAATAATAGTTTAACAAATCCACGATATTAAAACTAACCCCAATAAACAGTTTTTGAAAATATCACAGCCCGTTCAATGCAGCATGAATTCGTGGTAAGCGTCACATTTCAAGGATCACGTCAAGGATCACATTTCTATGGTGTAATGTATTTTTTTATATTTTTTGTAGAGCGTAAATTTTTTTCATTCTCATTTTGCATAAGTAGAACTTACAATATTTATCAACTCATCGAACCAACTTTGATAATATTTTTATTTTGTGACATTAGTGTTATGTGAATATATGAATATAAAAATTTAATCATTATTAACTTTATCACATATAGCTAACAAATGCATCCGATCCTGCTGTAAAAAACGCCCTGGATGGATGGTTTAAATATTTCAAATGGATATTACTTTCTAATATTACTTTTAAAAGATGGTCTGCAAGGCTTGTGTAAAATATAAAAGGCAACTCAACGAATAATCTTATAATGAATTGCGGAAAACGCAGGAAAACACTGTTCAAATGAAAAAGAGATGGAAATTTTTTTTGAACTAGAATCTTAAAAAAAAGAGCCGGTTAAATTAAGATGCTATAACATCGCCAGTGTA